CTCTCTCTCTCTCTCTCTCTCTCTCTCTCTCTCTCTCTCTCTCTCTCTCTCTCACGTTCGTTGATGAAATTCTTCTTTTGTTTCCTTGGAACACAACAGGTGTTCGTTTGCGAGTCATTGGCCAACTTGTATCTGGGAAACGCTTCGCAGACCGAAAGATGGGAGCTTCGATTTACAGGGATTCCAGTAGTGGTGTTGGATCTTGGAGAAACGCGATCAAGATCCAAGAGACGGATCCAAATCCTTTTGGCCGAGCGTGGCACTTGTTTTACGCTTTGGAGGGAGACGATCGACAATTTATCGTCGTACAAGGTAAATAAATAAATAAATAAATAAATGAATAAATGAATGGGGATTAAAAATTTGCAATTATTATTACAATCGCGTTTTCAGGTGTCGGGGCCGGCTTTTCACACGATGTGTCTCTCGTCGGATCACACGCGCCTGGCCGGCCTCAGTTTCGACAATCCAAAAGCCGCCAACGATCTTTGGCAGCACATAGAAAGACTCGTCTCCTGCCCCGAGAACATTAGCCTCTCGGTACCGGGGAAAAAGAAGAAGAAACCGGTACAGAAGAAAGTGGTTTTACCGGCCAAGAGTAACATCAGCCAGCCCTGTCAATTTCAACACGTGACGAGCGTGGACGCTGCCGACCGATCGCGATATTTCTCCCTCCAAACCCTGGTTCCGGCTTTGAACGAGCTCGAAAACTCATTGGAGGCGAATTTCTGAGATGACGAGAAGTTGGTCAAGAGCTCAGATTCGTAACTCTGACGGCGCTCTCGTCCATCATCTATCCATCATCGTATTGCGCGTTATGTTCTAGGGAAATTCATTGTAACACCTTCAGATTGATTCCGTAAAAACGGAACTCGTGCGCGCAGATGCGCTCGTCATTTCGTGCTTCCGAGCGAAATCAAACGATTTGCCAAATCGCGTTACATTTCGACGTAATACCGCTCGATGCGACGCCCTTCCTATTCTCTCGTCCCTTTTTTCTTCTGCTCGAGAGAGAAGTAATCGTAGTAGTTAAAAAAAAAAAAAAAAAAAGATTGTAAATCTTGAGAAAATGGAAAACTTCATTCATTCTATAATTTGTTTTATTGCTATCGTAATTATAGATAATGGCATAGACAAGAATATTTGTTCAGGGAAACGTTATAACGGTACAAGATCATTATTTCCAAATTTCAATGTAATTAACATCGTCGTTCTGATGTTTGGAATCGTTAGCTTCTTTCGATCGCTACAGACACTCGACACTTGTTAAAATTCATTGTTCAATCATCATCATTATCGACATATCGTTCGACGAATTATATGTAATTACAAAGATCAAGAAAAATTCGAATAATTTCGAAATGCGTTCGTATACGTATTAGCTTGGAGTAAATATACAGAAAATTGAAGATATTTTTCAAATCTCTCTAATCGCCTCCGTGACTTTTAGGCTGCAAAATGCTTCGATTTTGTCACGCGTTTCAAGAATTGAATGTCGTCGTGTTATGTACGCGAAATTTTGTCACGTTTTCAAAGTGAATTGTGTACCGCGTGAATTCTGTCCGAATAACGACTGCGATAAGACTGGTTCTACCATTTATTATCATATAATTAGAGAAATGAGTTTAAACGTAGGCATTGTGACGATAATAAAAACGTAGAACGTTACTCTGTTATTCGACGTTGGTCGAATTTCTTCGATACGCAATTTTTTTCGACGCCATGCTTTAACCTCTTTACTGCTGGACAGCTTAAAGCTCGTTAACATTATCGAGTCGTAGAATGTGAAAGAATTATATCGAAAAGAAAGAAAAGGGAAATAATAATGTGCAGTACTATTATGGAATGGCGGTCGAAACTTGATTATTAAATAATTGTGTTTTCCATTCCAAAGACGCGCGATCGCGTCGTTATTGTCATCGTTGTGAAACGCGTAAGTAATATCGTGTAAGGAATATCAAGAGGATAATCAAATTTCTCGCGTTCGAAGAATTAGCGTTTTATGGATTTAGCGATCGATGAGAGACAATTGTCAAACGTATATATTCGTTTGTTCGAGATCGTTTAAAGGTTCCCCCTCCCTTTTTGATCTCCCGACACTCGACTGTGCGTACGAAATAACTTCGATTACGATACATTGATTTCTTTGTCTCGACTGTGATATAAATATATTTGTATAGTTAAGTTTCACAATATGTATCCACATTGATTAATCATTTTGATATGTAAGTTTACGATCATCATTTCGCATGTAATAATTATGGTAATAAATAAGTAAGTTTACGTAACAGGTATTTCACGTTCGTATTTCACGACGCGTTGATTACACGAAGAAATATAAAAAGAATAGAATTCATTCGAGATATACTCCATCAATATTATTTTTTAACGAAAGAAATAAAGGACAAGACCGGATCAATCACGTTACGAAAACGAAACGACTAAGGAAAAACTTAAAGCGAAGTAATTATTTTTCTAATTTCTTCGAACAAATACTTTCGTGTTTAATTACAAGTGAGTAAAAGATAGTAAGGAAAAGATGGCGTACCCGGAATCAAAGCGACACTTTCCTCGCGCAGTTCAAATCTATGGTTGACTTTCTCTTCTTTTGGTATTCAATGACTAATGGTAAACAACGGATGTTTTTCGAATCTGCCCACTTGACGTTCTTTTTGCGGATCGAACTTAATTGTAATCAACCTGTATCTTACGACACGCGACGAGATATGTAATACGAACTTGCTTCACCCGACCAGGATGTAATTCCTATTCCACTTTCACCATTCTGAACACTTTTACTATTTGATAAGATATCGCGTGACGTGAAGTGGTTCGATCGATCATAACATCGTTCATAGCGTGAACGATAATTGGAAGAACTTGTGTAAAGAGAAATTAACATTAAGTGCAAGGAATTGAGAGGAAAAAAATCGAAGAAAAATCAAGAGGATTCGAATAGATGAGAGATGAGAAAAAATATATTTTATCTTTTATCTCATGATGGTTAGAAAAAAATGCATAGAATGAAATTTAATTACTGTTAATATATTTTCAATTTGTAATAAACTGCGAATGCATCGCGACAAACAATGCAATTTTCGCATTCCATGAAGCATTCCAATAAGGTTATTGAAAGTCGACTAAGATGTGTCGCACAGAACTCGTTAGTTGTTCGGCTGTAAATAGCGGATAAAAGCAGTCGGTTGGTCTCTAATACGTATGGATGAGAGGAAGACAATCGGTATTCGTGCGACAGGAAGCCATCTATACGAGGAAACGGCGAGTCGTCAGTGTGTTTCTGGAACTCACGTATTTTACTATTTTGTTTCTTTCCACGAGTTTACCGGTCTGAGCCACTCGTCGCCACTACATACCTACATTTCCATTGTATCCACTTCGAAGTAAATAGATATTCGTTGAAAAATAGAATCGAAGGAAACTGTAAATCCGATAAAAGGAAATATATATACGTAGTATGTAAAAAAGAAAGTTTCGAAAGAAAAATTATGTAATATGGTATATATTTGTGTATATATATATTTTCGAAAAAGATGTTATGTGACTCGTGGAAATTTGAAAAAATTTTGTTTTTTTCCATTTAAATTTTTAAGACGATGTTCAATTTCCCAGCATCGGTTTCTCATCTTCCTCTTTATTTTTTGATTTAGAATGAAATTAAACTTTTTTATAGTCTTCTTGATAATTCCGGACGCATCGATAGCGGAAAGCTATATGCGTGGGTTCCAGGTACCGGAATCGAAGCAAGGCCAAAGAGGACTCGGAAGAGGCACGGAGAGAGGTACGGAGACACCGATATTGGGTTAGTTTTTACGGCTGGTTTCTAGTTTCCACAGTGGTGCAATGAGGCCTGGGTTTCCCGTAGACGAGCACCACGTTCCAGATTATAGTCGCTGACACGATGCCAGAGAAGAATGAAAAAAAAAAAAGAAAGTCATCAATGAGTATCAGCCTTGATCTATAACATGTACAGATTTTAATTTGAATCTTTTAGATTCGAAAGAATAATTTGCTTCACGAATAAAATCATTGGACGATGTAACCGATCAAAGAGACGAACGATTTCGTGTCACCAGTTATCCCTTAAACGCCGCCATTGGCGGAAACACGGACAAAAACACGAAGGGAAGAGTGCGTAGGATAGAGCGGAGTACAACAGGATGCGAGCGACGCGTTCGATCGGCCACAAATGGGCGGACAAGTTTTTCCGCGATTCTCCTAGAAATAAATATAACGCTCTCCCGATTTATCTTAGCTCGCATCGTTTCTCGCGAATGGGTTAACGCGTGCGTGATTGAAAAGTTTCTTCCGATCCACTCTTTCGAGTCAATCCCTTTGTAAAAGTAGTTGCACGACGAATCGTCGATTCCGAGCGATTGGCGAAGGTGAAAAATGGCCGCGTACGTAGATAGGTTAAATCGGCTATAATTTTTCTCGACTCGTCCCGATGAATCCGTAGCATCGATATTTGATCGCTAACGGTAAGATGACGCGAGCTCTCATCCCTCCTTTCATTTAACTTTCATTAAGATTGATGGGTATTGACCTTTGTCGAGACCTCGTGTCGTCTCTTCGTCTAACGCGTCGATGTTATGTTCTCGTGTCGGATATTTTTCTCACGTTCCGCATCCTTCCTTCCCGATCTCTAAATAAATATTCACGTTGTGAAGAATCGTAGGTTATCTTTACAATTGCACAATCTCGTTTTTAACTCGAGTCACAAAACGACCTACATTTCACACTTGTCGTTCGTTTTCGATAATTTCGTGTATACATTGAAAAATCGTTGGATCGTTGGATTATTGAGAAAGATTAGATTCTTACACATTTTGATTACGATTTTAAAGAGAATGAAAAAATTTCGACACGAAATAAACACTTACCGGTAAAGTCGGCTCTCTTCTATGCATCGGTATATTTCATCGATTTTTTCTCGACATGTACGTACATCTATACGCAAAAGCAGAAATCTCTCAACGAGAGATTTATATTATCGACATACTAAATTAATTTTAAATTGAAATTCTTTATGAACCCTCGATTCTTTCTAACCTCTTTCTTCTTGTCATTCCTCAATTTTAACTATTTCGCTCTTATGATTGCAACGATTCACGATTTGGATTGAAACTTTCTCGTTTGAAAATCGTAATATCTTATTCGAAATATTCGATCAGATTATCGGTTATATTATATACCACACAAAATTGTATCTCTTTTTTCGTTTTTCATTAAGTTATTCTGTTTCATTGAAGAAGTTCCAAAGAATCAAAAACGAATCGAAATCGAGGATAGGAATTAAGGCTCATTAATGCCAATAAATCGTAACCAAGTACCGTTTCGGCAGCTTTGAGTTCCAAACGAATATTCCCGAAAGCCTTTACTCGCTATAAATTATCCAATGGGCGTGTAATCGATTGCCGTTTCTTCCTCGATCCAATTCAATGCTGTTGTTCGATAAGAAAATTACCGATGCATCGATTACGTGACATATTTTCGGATTACGGATCGATTTTGCAAAGTTCGATCAATTCGCAACCTTATGGAATCTAAGCTTTATACGAGACATGGTAACCGATAATACGATAATTTATTGATAAACGGAAAATCAACAAAACGTGTGACCGTCAGGTACAATTCATCATACGTAACAAAGTACACACTTATACATAGAGTACGTACGAAAATGATGTTTTGAATCTGTCTCATCATCATTTGTAATCTCGAGTACGTGAGCGATCGCGATACCACGCACAAATAGTCCTTTTTTCACTATATAACATCTGATAAGTGATTTATCTCGTGCAAATACAACGCGAAATGTGCAACTCGAATGACAGGCGGCGACACAATCGCCGTTATTACAATCGCAACCAATTTCAAGCGAATAAAAATGAAACGAATGAAATTCAATTGTTGGATATCGATAACAAACACGATGATCGATAGACGTAAAATTAGCGTTAATAATACAAAATTACAATGACAACATCTATATAAATCTGATTCTTACATTACTGTTTTACGTTTTCGTAGAATTATCATTTTACTTATTAAGTTATCGATCGCGCAGAATCGAGAGCATACAAATGTTGAACAATATAACGATATGATAAATACGTTGATCGCGTTAATTATTATATGCATATTACGATAAATACTTCTCACGAGCAACATTGTTCCTTTTCATGCACATGTATGCTCAAACTACAATCGACTCGTTCGAGTAACAAGCAGCACCAATTGAAACACTTTTCTACGGATCTAACGATCGACAATGTGTGCAATAATATTCTATCAAAAGTCATTTACATAATCGTGTACATCTTTGAAACAGGTTCGTTGAGCAATTTGTCACGACACGTGA